CAAAATCTCAGCACAAAAAGACAGCACATAATTCCTTCTAGGTTTTAATTTACTCTTTATCTATGTTGTTTACAGCATGAAACGATTTTTGTTGAATACATGAACGATGCACATGTTATGAAAATATTATAAACAAACAGGGTACCGCCCCTGTTCTTGTGCTAAAATTTCAATTACACACACTACATTCAATCAACACTACCTATATTCAATACTGAAGAGTTTTTTGGTTAGTTAGCTAGTTTCCCAGCAGGTACTGAGGTCCAACACGGGAAGCTACTCTGCTATAGTTGTTTTTGAGCCAATATCTCTAGATTGATTATTTCAATTTGCTAGGATATTCTCTTGTCAGGGTAGAAGGATGTTAGTAAATTCAAAAAGGCCCTAATGCACGCTCTAAATCCAAAAATCAAAATCCTAGCACAAAAGACAGCACCTAATTTTTTGAGGATTTAATTTATTCTTTATCTGTATTGTTTAAAGCATTCTTTATCTGTATTGTTACAACGATTTTTGTTAAACACATGCTATAAAAAAATCTATAAACAAACAAAAAATAAACATAAAAATGGGGAAAAAATAATACTTGTATGAATTGAATTCTCAAAAACAAAATAACAATTATTATTTAACTGACCTGTGATCACTCCTTGACACACACTAATCACAAATTGGATTGAACAATCAGTTCAATACAAAATAAAAATTTAAAAATGAACAATGGCGGACAAACGGTCTAAGGGACCATCTTCTTCAGTCGCTTTTTTCTTCTGTCTCCCGTTCGCAGTGCCGTTCCTTATAACTCGAACGCGGTCATCCCTAAACTACATAGCGCATTACATGGTTACAACATTTACTTTTATTCAGTAATTTTTTTTTTTTTTTTTAAGTTAGGATTGTGAAAGAAATAATATTTTAAATAGGTAGTTCTCCTCAATATGTACAGGATGGGCATTTTATTAGGGACCTATGACTTCTCTCAGAAACTACAGGGTGTACAAAAAAAATATATAAATACAAAAATTTCTTGGTTTTAAGCAATGTTGTCAATTATTTGAGTTTTATTTATACAGGGTGTCCCAAAAGTGCTGCACCGACTTCAAAACCACAATTTTAAATGGGACACCTTGTATATTTTCACATTTTTGGATTCCCGGAGAAAAATAAAGGTAACTCTCATAAGGACTACCTATTCGAATTTTGTGTAATTTAAGCAGAAATTGAGGTTATGTATTTTTTTTAGCAAATTTATGCCCTCAGCAAATAGTGTCTTGTGTGGCTGGTAGTTGAGATTATTTAATAAAATTTCAACCACATCTTAAGAAGACTACCTCCCAACGATTTACGATGTCTAGGTGCTTTAAATTTATACAGGGTGTCTCAGATCATAGGACATTTTTTTCAATTTTCAATTTTCAATATCCAAGTTTTTTTTAATGGAACACCCTATATTTGATTTTTTTTTTGTTGTTTTGTCTAAAAATGCCTACCCATTTATTGTGTTATAGAAAATTTTTAATACTAGTAGCTCCATTTAACAAATCCAAAAAGTTTCAAGTTGCTGGGATGGCTGAAAGTGATTTTCAAGAATCTTCAAATGTGATTTTAGAGGAATTTTATGATTTTCTCAGGTATCAATGATTAAAAAAAATCGTAACTTTAGTTGTGAGCTTCATATTAACTTCCAACTTGTTTCGTAATATTAAGAAACTTCATTTTACAAATCCTGAAAGTTTTAAGTTGTTGGTATGACTAAAATTATTTTTCAGTAACGTTCAAAGGTGATTTTACAGTAATTTTATAATTTTCTCAGGTATCAACGAGTAAAAAAATTCGTAACTTTAGTTGTGAGTTTCATATCAACTTCCAGTTTGTTATATACTATTAAAAAATTCATTCAACAAATCCTGGAAATTGCAAGATGCTGGCTGAAAGTATTTTTCAGGAACCTTCAAAGGTAATTTTACAGGAATTTTATCATTTTCTCTTTCTTAAGTATCAGTGAGTGAAAAAATTCGTAACTTTAGTTCCGAGTTTCATATCAACTTCCAACTTGTTTTGTATCATGAAGGAATTTCATTCAACAAATCCTGAGTAGTTTCAAGTTGTTGGTATAACTAAAAGTATTTTTCAGGAACGTTCTAAGGTGATTTTACAGTAATTTTATGATTTTCTCAGGTTTCAGTGATTGAAAAAATTCGTAACTTTAGTTGCGAGTTTCATATCAACTTACAAGTTATTCCACATCATGAAGAAACTTCATTTTACAAATCCTGAAAGTTTCATGTTGCTGGGAAAGCTGAAAGTGTTTTTTAGGAACCTTTAAAAGTGATTTTACAGGAGTTTGATGATTATCTCAGGTATCAATGAGTAAAAAAAATTGTAACTTTAGTTATGAGTTTCATATCAACTTCCAACTTGTTCTATATTATAAAGAAACTTTATTTAACACATCCTGAAAGTTTCAAGTTGCTGGGATAGCTGAAAGTATTTTTCAGGAACCTTCGAAGATGATTTTACAAGAGTTTTATGATTTTCACAAGTATCAATTATTTTGTATCATGAAGAAACTTCATTTAACAAATCCTGAAAGTTTCAAGTTGCTGGGATGGCTTAAAGTATTTTTCAGGAACCTTCATAGTTGATTTTATAGAAATTTTATGATTTTTTCTAATATCAATGATTAAAAAAATTCGTAACTTTAGTTGTGAGTTTCATATCAACTTCCAGTTTGTTTTGTATCATGAAAAAACTTCATTTTACAAATTTTGATAGTTTCAAGTTGCTGAGATAGCTGAAAGTAGGTATTTTTTAGGAAACTTTAAAAGTAATTTTGCAGGAATTTGATGATTTTCACAGTTATCAATGAGTGAAAAGATTCGTAACTTTAGTAGTGACTTTCATATCAACTTCCAACTTGTTTTGTATTATGAAGAAACTTCAATCAACAAATCCTGAAAGTTTCAAATTGTTGGGATGGCTGGAAGTACATTTTTCAGGAACCTTCAAAGGTGATTTGTGATTTTATCAATAAGTAAAAAAATTCGTAACTTTAGTTGTGAATTTTATATCAGCTTCCAACTTCTGTTTTATTACGTAGAAACTTTATTTAACAAATCCTGAAAGTTTCAAGCTGCTGGGATGGCTGAAAGTATTTTTCAAGAACCTTCAAAGGTGAGTTTACAGGAATTTTATGATTTTTCCAGGTAGGTACTGTAATAATGGATCTGGTAGGTAAGACCTTTACAGTTTTCGAGAAAGGAAGTTTCAAGTTTAAATTTCATAACAATGTCAGGCAAATTTGAAAATTTCGAGCTTATCTACAATTTGAAAGCAACTTCAACTTGTTACTTTATCAAGTTTTGGAGTATAGAAGTTGAAAATTACAAGTTGCCATGACAATCTGATTCCATAGAAACTTTTCAAAAATATTTACAATGTCGAACCTGTAAATTTTAAGTTGATTCACAATTCAAAAGCAAACTCAATCTCAAGTTTGAAAGTTACGAAGTTGTAAAAAAATTTAATCGCTGGAAGCTACACAAAATGTTGAAAGTCTCTTATCTTAGAAACTCAAGAACTTTTCACGATCAAATCTATTGATTTTGTGCTGATTTACAATTAGAAAGGATTTGCAATTCACTACCTTATCAAGTTTGATAGGTAGTTTGAAAAAGTGTAAACGCTGAAAACTACAAGTTGCAATAAGACAAATTGAAATTCTGAATATCTTGGGAAGTAGGAACTTTTCACAATCATATACCAGTTAAAATCTGTAGATTTTTAATTCATCAACAGTTAAAAAATATTTGCAATTCATTACCTTATTAAGTTTGATAGTTATGAAGTTGCAAAGAAGTTTAAACGCTGAAAACTGTAAGTTGCAGTGAAAACAAACTAAAAGCGTGGATATTTTAGTAATTGGGAACTTTTCACAATCATATACCAAATCAAATCTGTAGATTTTGAGTTGATCTACAAATAAAAAGGATTAACTTATCAAGTTTCATAGTTTGGAAGTTGCAAAGAAGTGTAAACGCTGGAAACTACAAATTCCAATGAGGACAAACTGACCACCTGGATATCTTAGAAGCTGGCAACTTTTCACAATCATATACCCAGATCAAATCTGTAGATTTTGAGCTGATCTACAATTAAATAGAATTTGCAATTCATTACCTTATTAAGTTTGATAGTTATGAAGTTGCAAAGAAGTGTAAACGCTGAATACTACAAGTTGCAATGAGAGCAAATTGAAAGTCTGGATATCTTAGGAAGTATAAACTTTTCATAACTATATACCGGATCAAATTTGTAGATTTTGAGCAGATCTACAATCAAAAAGGATTTGCAATTCACTTTCTTGAAAGTTTGGTAGTTTATTACAGAGGAAAGAAGTTTAGAAAAAAACAGAGCCTATAGAATAGATAAAAATCAAGTAAATCAATTCCCTAAATCTAAAGTGTTATTTTTATTTTTTTTGTTTCAATCAATTTGTAATTTTACTGTTTACTGTTACCCATGTTTGTCTGACTCGTAAAAAGCGACAATAAAACTAGAAAATTACGATTACAAAAGAATAAAATACAAAAACGACTCATTTCGCTCGCTCCATCCTCATCAGAAAAAATTTAATTAAAACTTTTTGAGATTTTTTTTTTTATTTTTCTACTATCACTAGCGATTTTATTCTGGCTTGAATTTCAATAGACAAATAATAATAAAATTTAAATTTAGATAAACTTATTATTGTTGGGAAATCTTGCAACTTTTATCAAATAATTGCCAAGGATTATCGAGTAGTTCGGCCAATGCATTGACTTTGTTCTCGTTTATTTCTTCTTTTACTACTTCAATAATGTGGCGAGTTTCCCACACTTGTTTCGGTTCCAGTCCTATGTCAGAAGACAAATGTCCGGTACCAACCTTAAACATAAGAAAATTGATTTACTGCTGGACTGGAAGAAGTTCATCGATTGTGCGAGTGCGCAGTGGTTCACCTACAGCGATATAATGCAAATATTCATAAGGATAATCTTCTTCGACAGGATTAGTCCAGGGATTGAAGATCAAAACGTCCTTGGCGGTTTTGGCGCAGGCGGTTATTTTCAATTTGAGGCCGGTGTTGTCGATATTTCGAACTTCGACCGCTGATGGTACGTCTACAAATACCTAAAATATAATTGAAAGAATTAAAAATATTTGTGTTATTGCTCATCCTTGATTTACTTTCAATTCGAAAGGTTACGATGGTTGATTTAAAATCAAAAATTTTATTTCAAGGGACATTTTGCCTCACGACTTATTTAGTTTTAATCCGATTCTAAAGGCGAGTTTAAACAACTTCATAACTTTAATTTAGTGCGTAATTCACAATTTAGTGCATAAACTTTAAAGTTAAAGGACCTCGCACATTTCTTATGGAAAATGGCTTTCGGCTAAATTTTCTGAAAATTTGAGATAATGTAGTTCTTGATGTCCTGATTAAAAGTTCTCATGAGCACAACTCAATCCTATGGTCAGTTTTTGAGTTATGGATTGTCAAAATTGGCTTTTTTAAACTTCGAGATATTGATTTTTTTTCAACATATTTGTTTATATTTCCTCGATTAGCACATTTAAATTAAAAGTTTCTACTCTAAGTTTTAGGCGTTTTGGTGTCTTCTTAAAATGTGGTATAAAAGTTCCTACAGCGTCTTACACAAAATGGTGGCGGCAGAGAAATGTCAATTTAGAAAAAGTCGTAAAAAACTAAATTCGATCAATTGTATAGAACACAAAAACGAACGGCTAGATTTTACCGTATTTTCAATATGTTGTTATCAAAAGTATATTTAAGAATACTTACTATAATTTTGGATCCAAAATGTTATACCAGGTGTTCATTTTGTGCCAAGGCCCCGGTGTAGATGGTAAATGCCGACTGCAAGCGGGTTTCAAGTTCAAATGCTATTATTAATCAGCCATATTTAGTTCCGGGACCGGAACTGGTGATTTTTTTGCAAGAAATTCGCTCAATTGCAAGAGGCGTTAACAAATGGCAATGCTGTGAGAAAGACCTCAACGAAGAGGAATTCAGGAGTGTTATTGGTTTAAGTAAAGAACATTTTACCGATTTATACAGATTTTGTCATCCTGTTCGTACTGAAAATCTAGCAGAAAGGTAAGTTACATGTACGTTTACTCAGTGAATTGAAGCTCCTAAAAAACAGTAAATACCAATGCATGTTTTTTGAAGAGAGACAAAAAAACTAAAAAGTATATTTTGGTGTAGGCTTCTAACTTCAAGATGTGATGTAATATGTGACAGTTTCTTGTATAGTCTTCAATTTTAAAGCAATTTTTCCAAAGCACGCACCGGTAAATAATGTATGCTTATCATACAATACCCAGCTTACAACCTTATGGTATTCATACTCTGATATGATCCTTTTTTTAAGGTCAATAAGCAAAAAGAACTTGCTATCCTTTTTATGTAAACTGCGCCATGGTTTATCGGATGAGTTTTTGTGTGTTTTGTTCAAATACAAAAGTAGACAGAATGCAAGTATGGCGATTTCAATAGTGCGACAAAGTCTCTCCGAACATTTTGTGCCCCAAAATATAGGATTTGAGGCTATTGGTAGACAGGAATATATTAACAGACATGTAACAGACTTCTCCAATCAACTTTACAATCCTAATCCAGAAATACCAATAGCAATTGTTTATGTAGATGGAACTTATAGCCCCATAGAAAAGAGCAGTAACTTTAGGGTACTTCGCCAGTCTTATTGTGTGCACAAAGGCAAACATTTGTTGAAACCTACTCTAATAGTTGCACCAGATGGTTATATTTTAGATATTCAGGGACCATATTTTTCTGACAGCCAAAATAACGATGCTGCTATTTTAAGTAGAGAGTTTGAACGGGATATAGCTGGTTTGAGAGCTTGGTTTCAAAATGGTGACATGTTTGTTGTCGATAGGGGCTACAGGGACGTGATTCCACTTTTAAATGAACTAGGAATAGACCACAGAATGCCTCCTTTGTTACCAAGAGGACAACAACAACTTACCACCGAAGAGGCCAATGAGTCCCGCCTAGTTTTTGCTAAAACACTCTCATTTCATCATGCCATCAATTTTAAACACGCAAGATCGCGGGGGCTATTATTAACAGGTATCATGAGCCTATTAGAATGCCCGATGCTCTAATGTTGAGTTTGCAAATATTATGTTGCAAAGGTCAGAACAAATTAATAACTTGCAAATTCGCATTGAAGAAGAGCATTGGCAACGCAGGCATGCCAGATGGAATGTCATCAATATTGAAGACCTTCTCAATTTTCCACCTCTAACGATTGAGTATTTAAGAAATCTAACCATTGGTACATATCAAATAAATCTGGCGCCTTCCTATATTCAAGACACACTGCAAAGACAAGGAGAACGCAATGAATTTCAAATTAATATACTAATTGACGACCCACAACTCGTTCATTTACGAATTTATTCTCGGCATAGAAATGCAACTCGTTACCAGTTATGGATAGCATTTAATCATCAAGATCAAGATCCTATTACAAGCTATTATTGCACCTGCCGATCTGGTGCCAGGACATTGGGTTGCTGTGCTCATGTAGCCTCTTTTATTTGGTATATAGGATACTCAAGGCACCAGGAACAAATTCGCTATCCATCTACTGCCTTACTAGATATAGTTTTGGATGCCGGTAATCGGTAGAGTAGAATTTTTAGCTTGTCTCCTCTACATCCAGCAATTATTAACATTTTTCAACGTTTCAACTCATAGTAGCATCAATTTATTATCTAAAGTTATGCAATGGAGATTATTAGTGTGGTAACGGCAACTACGCATACTGACGTATAGCAACACTGAGCATGCGTCCTACAGAGGACGTCATCCAGAGAGCAGCCTGAGGAGCTCTCTCTCTCTCAATCCAGCCAACCTAGAAGAAGGTTCTCCAAATCGTGTTCGTGAAATAAAATGTCCGATCGTTATATACTCTAAATGTTTTATGTAATATTGGGAGTGAAATAAAAACCCTGTTCAGACGACTACCTTTATTAATATCCTGAACCCCAAGATACAACAAATGGCGACGAGGATTTAAATGGAATGTGGATTTTTTTTTATGGTGAGCGTACCACGAGTCACGACTAGCCGAGTAAGTACGATTCTCACAGTATGGCCGACAAATTTTGCGAATTTAATATTCATGCCGATGACTGGGCGATTTATGGGGAAAGACTTGATCAACTTTTTTGCCGCAAATGCAATAACTGACGATAAAATTAAAACTGCTAACTTACTGAACTTCATTGGATTGAATGCATATAAACTTTTGCGAAATCTTTGCTTACCAAATTTACCTAAAGACAAGTCCTTCACGGAGCTGTGTAATTTGCTAAAAAGTCATTGTTGCCCACGAGTCAATGTGTGGCGCGAACGTAAAAGATTTTATAAAAGCAAACAATTAGATAATGAAAAGGTTTCAGAATGGAGTGTTAGACTTGCAAAATTGAGCGAAAATTGTGATTTTGGGACTGGATTGAATGTAGCATTACGAGACAAATTTATGAGTAGTTTGAAGGCAAATAAAATTTTTGAGAGGCTATGTGAAGAATAACTGAATGAAGCAACGTTCGAGAGGTTCAAAGAAATTGCAGTGCAGAGAGAAGATATATCCAATGCTAATGAAGAAGAAGTCCAATTTCAACAGAAACATCAAATTGGGGCCCATAGCGATAGCTATGCACCAAGGTCAAGGGTTCGGTTCCACGAATCGCGGCAACCGCGCAATAATCAACAACGCCGAGAGGGCAGGTCCTTGAGCCGCGACAATGTAGCAACAGGGAGATGGAAATCTCCTGCGTCATCGATGGCCAAAAGCAATGGCGGAAGCAGAAATGGCGGTAGTAAACAACAAAACCGAAATTGTCGAGTTTGTGGAGGCTTTCATGGTGGTTTGTGCACATTCAGGCATTCTACTTGCTTGACGTGTAAAAGAAAAGGACACATTTCGAGGGTTTGTAACAATAAAAACATTAATTTTTTGGACAATAATGGGTATGTAAACAAAGACTTTTCTGATTCTTCTTTTTCCTCGGACGACATTGCTAGTAGTATTTCGAACAGTAATCCAGTTAATTTATTTCAAGTTTCCAGTAATAAAGACAAGGAAAGTCAATTTCACTTAAATGTAAACATTGAAAATTATAATTTTAATATTTTGTTTGACTCTGGAAGCTCAGTCAGCTGTTTGAATTTTGAAGTTTTCAATCAATATTTTGCAGATAAATTTGAATTAAGGCAAGATGATACTGTGTTAAAAAGTTATAATGGTAGTTTGTTTGCACCAAAAGGGTATTTTAAAGCTAGGGTTACTTTTAAAAATATATGTAAACACATTAAATTTCATGTATTCTAGGTAGAGATTTCATTCAGAATTTTAATTTGAAATTTCAGGTGATTAATAGTGTGGACAGTGATTTGAGCATTAAGAATGAGCTCAAAAACTTAGTAAAAAAATATGACGACGTTTTTTCTGACAGATTGGGTCACTATAAACATGCTAAACTGTCCTTGACATTAAAAGATAATGCTAATCCTGTTTTTTTTAAACCTAGAACAATTCCTCTTGCCTATAAAAAGCCTCTGGAAGATCAACTAGAGAATATGGTGCAGCAGGGCATATTTACTCCAATCGAAACTAGTGATTGGGCGAGTCCTCTTGTGCCTATCTTGAAGTCCGATGGTCAGATACGCATTTGTGCAGATTATAAAAGTACAGTCAACAAGCACATCATGGAGGAAGTCTATCCACTGCCACGCATTGAGGAAATATTCGCCAAACTTCACAAAGGTCAACACTTCACTAAACTGGACCTTTGTCAAGCCTATAACCAGTTTGAGCTGGACGAAGAAGCGAAGAAATTGTTGGTATGGTCCGCTTGCCCTTTGGCGTTGAACCAGCTAGCGCCAAATTTCAGCGTCATATTGAGCAGACACTGCAGGGGGTGAACAACTGCGCATGCTTTTTGGATGACATTATTGTGACTGGTCAAAATAAGAAGTCTCATTTGGAAGCACTGGAAAATGTTCTGGAAAAATTAAGGGATGCAGGTTTGACTGTAAAAATGAGTAAGTGCGAATTTTTTAAATCCAA